AAACAGTCATGGTCAGAAAACTAGTTAGAATACTTATCTTATTCTATGTAGACTCGTAAGCAGAAAGTTATTTTTTCAAGCATATTTTCAACTTATCTATGAAAATGAAAAAGTGTTTAATTCCAAATTCGTCATTGCCATTTAAAACCCTTTCCCTCTCTCTATTCTCACTAACTCCAATTCTCTCTATTCTCACTAACTCCAACTTCTATTCTCACCAACTCCAACTTCTATTCTCACTAACTCCAATGGCCTAATTAAAGTATACACTTTTAACATACTTTAAGTATACATTGGCCTACTTAAATTATACAATTTAAGTAGTGTTCTTATATGTATGCTCCTAATTAAAAAAAAAGAGCGGCGTCTTTCTTGTATTTTAATGCTTGAACTGCTGAGAAACATTACTAAGAATAGCTTAATAGTGCTTCAGCTATGCTCTTTACTGTTTAAATTTAAGTTTTGTTCATAACATAAATTATGCCCTTTTAGCCTTTTTATAAATTGAAAAAAAAAAGAATGTAAACAAAATTTAAAAATTGAAAATTTAAAATACACCCGGTGGGAAATGAGCTAGCGATTAACTAGTTTCTAGCAATTTTTAAAAGATTTTTTTTTCTTATCTTATTTTTTCTTAATGTTTTTAACATCTTTAAAAATTCAAATTTTAGTGTTGTTTCTATTATAATTATGAGAAAAATTGAACTTTAAATAATGCATTTTTATAGCAATGTTTTCGCTAGCTACATATCGTAGCTTTGTAGCTAGCTACAAAATATCTACAAATCTATAGCTGGTTGATAGCTAGAGATCAAAACTTTTTAGAAAGCGATTTTATTACGATATGACGCTGGCTACAATAGTCAGTGGGTCTTTAGCTTATTAAGCTAGCTTTTCGCTAACTTAAAAAACCTAGCGATCCTCGTGACCAAATCGCTATCTTTATCGTTAAGATTATAGCTAAACTTAACTTCAAACTTTTCTATTTTAATACTAAAGTCAAATGGGAATGTGTTACAAAAAATTACTGATATTGGAGCTTTAAAACAAGACAAACCTAAATTACGTTCCAGTTTGTTTTTCGTCACTGTCCCAGTGGGAAATCGGCTAACAAACAGCTATAGTTATTTGCTAGCCAATTTCTCACCGGGACATATGACGAAAAACAAACTGGTTCCAAAGCTCCAATAACAGTAATTTTTTGTAACACGTTCCCATTTGACATTAGTATTAAAATAGAAGTGTTTGGAGATCACAACATGCTTGTAAGGCTCTAAGTCGAAATATTGATTATATAATTGATTACAAAACTGATCACATTTATTATCAGTTAAAAGTTAGGTTTTTAAGCTTTCATTATCAAAAAAGTAAAAGGTCCAATTTAAAGATAATAAATCCTTATCTATATAAGATTATTAAAGCAGCCTTATCTATATAAGACTATTAAAGCAGCCGGGCGCAGTGGTAGCACACTTGCCTCAGAAACGTAAAATCCGTGGTTCAAACCCCACCTCTGGGACAGTTTTGCGACATCGGTTGGGAATGAGGCGTGAACTGCTCTTCCGCGGTGCTCTGCGATAAGACCATAAGGACTTCTTGTGGCACCTGAATCAACTTAAAAAAAAAAAAAAAAAAAAAATGCTATTTTACCCATTATAAATAAAGTTGAACCGGTTATCATAAGATAACCGGTTTTACCCTAGCCGAGCGATTTGCTACTATTATTTTTATTTATTTTTATCCGTCAATAATTGAAAGAATAAATATTTTATATTTATAATCGTTCTTATTTAAAGATTTTTTGATTGATCTTAGATTTAATTTATAGAAACAAAAATAATAATAATAAAAAAAAATTTCTAATGTTGGGAAATTTACTATCATTGCTGGTAAGTTATAACCTGTTTTTATTGTAAAGTCCTTGGTTTTTGTTAAAATTCGGTGTTTAAAGTTTTTCTTAGTTTTTTGAAAAAATGCTATATAAAAATAAAAAAAAAGTTATATAGTATAGGTTTTTTTATATTTGCTTATAATATATAATGACAATACTTATTCCATTATAATAAACAATACTAATGAAATTTTATTGTACAGTTAAAAATGACATTTTATTCACAATTAATAAAAAAACAAAGCTTGTTTTCTATAATTATATATGCAAAGTTTGTAAATATTTTACACTCAAAAATATTTTTCAGTTTTTATGTAATAATACAACATTATGTTTATAATTTTATGTCCATTACAAGTTCATAATAATGTACTTAAGAAATGTTCAAAGTCTTTCAACAGAGCACACTTTAACTGTTGGACATTAAACCATACCTAAAAACATCAGGCATTGTTTAACTAAGGTCTTATATTTTCTAATTGAGTCATAAAGTCATTGAACATTTTGGGTGTTATAATAACTTCATGATTGAAGCAGACAATCTGAGGTTTCAGTAAAACAACATCCAATGTGTGGCCATTAAAATGTGTACTGCTTTCTCTCCAAATATTGTTGATTTCTACTGATGATATTGATAATTTCTAGTGATTTTGTACTATATAAGTAGTTAATTGTAAACATGACTCTTTTTTATAAGGATAAGAACAAGGTTGCCCACAAACTATTGATTAGTACATTTAGTGTTCAATTGACATCTCGATGTGAAGGCTAATTACTATTATCTAATAATGTGGTTCCTATAAAAAAAAAAGTTAAAAAGTTTATTATTTTGATTGAATTTTTGTAGAATTTAATTTTTTTTTAAAACATTCTCAAACTTAAATCCAATAACTATAAATACAGTTATTTGTGTTAACATTTTAAAAACCTTTATTATATATTTTAAGACATTTTATTAAATTTTTGTTTTGAATTAACTTACATGACTTATATACAGTAAACATAGTTTAGTTGTTTAAGTATGCTAAATAAAGTATCAAATTGTTTTAATATTTTTAATTTCTCTGCATATTTATATGCAGAGAAATTAAAAATATTAATATGCTGGTTTGTTTATTCTATTATAGTATCTTAAAAGTGTTTAATATTTTTTAACAAGCAAAATTACAAACTTAGAAGTGTGTGTGTGATTTTAGAGGCAATCAACACTCGTGCAAAAAAATGTACAAAAAAGTTATAGAAGATCCAACTTGTTAAGATTTTACTATAAACTTAAATAATATAAACTTCAAATTATTGAAAATTTATGTTTACCTTTAGCTGACATTCCAGATTGTTTTTCATAAAACATAGACTTTTTATTTACAGTTTAACTCCTTGCATGGTTGCTGTTCATAAGTTAAACTTTAAAGTTAAAAGCTGTGTGTTTAAATGTAGCTCCTCTTTGCATTGAATCTTACAGCAAAGAAAAGTATTTACTAAAGTTAAACATATTTACTAAAGTTTAATATAAAGGTCTTCATCTGCTTTAAGATAAGTAGGAAGTAAAAGATACAAATCAAATCAAAAAATTTATGAAATAAGTTGTAACATATCAAGGACATTTACTTATATTACAAGTATGTTGTATGTTGATCTCATGCCACCAAATAAACACTTCTAAAAGCATATGAAACTGTTGCGGTATTATTGGCTTGTGCTGCTTAAAGTAAAAAAAAAAAAAAAAAAATTGGAAAAATGGCCATTTATTGAATAGAGTTGTAAAACCTCATAACAGTAATAAAATGGTATTCATGTATTTTTAGAACACCGCAAATCATGTAAAATTGTGGAATGCAAGTAAATATATTTATTATCATTTAAAAAATTGATTTTACTTCGTGGATTAATTAGCAAAAATTATATTACATTGTTTACCTGGGTTTTTAATTTTACTACATAGATTAATTTACAACACTGAAGTTAGAGCTTGTGCAGTTTTGTTTTATTTCATTAAATTTAATGATGCATCTTAAACTATTTTTGATGTCTATAAACAAAAACAGCTCAAGCAAGGTTTTTACTCAAAGTTTAAAATGAGAAAAAATACTAAAAGTAGTAAAGAAAGGGTTAGTTGATTAAAGTCAGCTAAAGATGAATCTTCTTTTCGAAAAAGAATTTGAGTTTTTTTGATTTATTAGTTATTTATGCTTTCATTTTTGCGTTTTTTTCAAAACAAGGTTTTTCAATCAGTGTACCTTGAAAATATGCTCAAATTTACACAAAAATGCCATATCAGCATATTTGAATATATATATAATCAAGTTTTTTAAAGATTGTTTAATTGTGTAAAGTATTTTTTGATTACAAACATAAAAAATCTGTTTCAAAAACTCAACAAAATTGTATTTTTTTTTCTTTTTAAGGTAATTCCATATAAGATCATCTGAAAAAAAACATTTTTATGTCTCAGAATTTGTTCATTTTCACCTCACTTGCAGTCCATATTAAAAAAATAATAACTGCAAAAAGTTTAGTTTAAAATACACATGGGTTCCAAAGATATTGTCAGTTAAAAAAATGCTGACTCAGCATTTTAGTAATTATCTGAAGCAACTACTAAACAACTTTGACATAAAGTATCTTCATAATGGCTAGGGAAATTTCCTAAAATTTGGTACCTCAATAGATTTTTACTTGTGGGATCCAAAAAGAGCACCCTGAAGACCTGGATTTTTTTTTTTATAATTTTTTTTTAATGTATTAAATGATATAATAATAAATAGTTATAAAAATTTAATTTAAAAACATAATTTTTTTTTTTTTTAAACAATTTTTTTTCATTATTTCAATTCAAATTGGTGAATGCTTACCTCTTATTATATCAAAAACAAGCAAATGTTTTTTTTTTGTTTTTTTTTAAGGTTTCATTTTACCACTCATTCATATATTGCAAAAACACAAAGTAGATACTTGAAAAACTGTAAGTGAGGTTCAAAGTTATCACTGGAGTAAAGGTCAATGTTCACTTTTTACAATTGTAGTTTATTTTTTAAAGAAAAAAGTTTTCAAACACAAATCTTTTTGTTACCTTTCAGAAGATGTTGATCATGACACAGGATTTGTTTCTAAGACTCAAAAAGATATAACTAGATATATCAAAGAAAATCTACCTGATATATCAAGTGTGAAATACTTTTCCAATGGTTGTGCAGCACAATTTAAAATTTTTTAAAAATAACAATCTTTGTCATCACAGTAAAGACTGAATGGGTAAATGTAATATCACAGTAAATGATGAATGGGTATTTCTTGCTACCAGTCATGGTAAATCCCCCTGTGATGGTATTGGTGGGACTGGTAAAAGAGTAGTATGTCAAGAAAGTCTAAAACAAATAACTACTGGGCAGATTTTAGATGTTAATTTAATGTACTCCTTTTATAAAGCCAAGGTAAATGGAATTTGTTTTAATTTTTTTTTCTAAAAATGAAATTGACCAAACCCAAGCACAATTAGAAAAAAGATATTAAGGTGGAAGAACAGTTCCTGGCACAAGGACATATCATAATTTTATTCCAATTGCTTCAAACACTATAGGTTATAAAAAAACAAGTATTGAAAATTTGATATCATTCCAAAAAGCAAACATAATAAAGGCATTTCATTAAACATTAAAAAAAAATGGATTGTATTGCATGTTTTTATGACTGATTTTGGTAAGTATTGATTGTTGAAGATGTAAGTGAGCTTAATATAAAAGTCAGATTCATGCATCCACATGGACCAGGTAAAAATTTCTTTTGGCCAACGAGAAATGACAAGTGTTGGGTGCTCAATTCTGAAGTTATATGCCTAATTTCTACACCCACAACAATATCAGGTCGTACGTACAACATATCTGATTTAGATTTGGAGAATATAAGCAGTTGGTTATAAAAAAAAATACATTTAAATTAATTTTGTTTTAATTTTATTTACCTATTTTGCATTTAGAATTTTTCTTTCTTTTTTTCAAATTCTTAGATGGAAGGCTGAGAAGGAGGGTGTTTAAATAAATCTCACTGTCCACCTTATTATGTCAATGACTAATTATTACTAATATTAGTAATAATCTTTTAAATAATACCATAAAGATACTGATTGTTAAAATGTTTTATTATTGTGAAAATGTTAAAAACATTTCAATGTTTTTGGTTCTAAAATTAATGATTTTTAAAATCGTGAAAAGATCTTAGTTTTGAGTGCTTACTTTGAAATAATAGGTAAATAATGAAAAAAAAATTGTTTCTTAAACTAAAAAAAAAAATTATGTTTTTAAAATGAATTTTAATAATTATTTATTATTATATCAATTAATACATAAATTTTTTTTTTAATGTAAAATCCAAGAAGATTGGGTGGGGGGGGGGGGCAGAGTTGGTCAGAGGACCTCTGGCCCTCCCTTGGCCTATGACTATAAACATCCTAAACTAGTCAATAAATAACACTATTTAATGTTTTATTCAAATAAACGTTTTAAAAAGCATTTCAATTGCTTTCTTTACAAAATTTAATTTTTTCTAAAAAGACAATTTTTAAATGCAAATTTTGATCAAGTACCAGAGAGACAATTGATGAATCTAATTTTTTTTTCAGTAGACTTAAGATAAAATAATGATATACAATTAAACTTTTTATTTGGGATTTTGGGCCACAGTTTTCATTTTACCTCCAAAAATCATGAATTTACAAGTCAAGAATTTTGAACAAAATTGGATAAACAATGCATTTCCTGAGATAATTGAGTCTTAAGGGTGTTCTTTTTGGGTTCCGCAAGTGAAAATCTATTGGGGTACCAAATTTAAAAAAATTTCTTTTATGAATATACTCTATGTCAAAGTTGTTTTGTAGTTACTTCAAATAATCACTACAATGCTGAGTCCGCATTATTTTAACTGACAATATCTCTGAAACCCATGTGTATTTTTAACTAAAATTTTTGCAGTTAATATTTTTTTAATATGGACTGTAAGTGGGGTAAAAATGAATACATTTTGAGGCATAGGGGTGTCATAGTCTGGATGATTTCATATGGAATGATCCTGTAGAAACCATTGCAATAATAATAAGCCTGTAAGATATCTAGGTGGAAGAGGATAAACTCCAAAATCTTGAAATTAGAAGTAAATGTCCATGAAATCCTCCACAAAAAAGGATCTTCAGCAAGTCGTTACATTTTTATTTCCAAATCTGTAATGCTATATATATTTTTTTATTTCAATGATTTGTGTTAGCTGGATAAATATGCTTAAACATAAAGGGCGCTGCTGTGATTCCATATGTTGCAAAATTACAGCTTGTTAGTGGGGTAGACCCGTATAAACTGAAGTTTAACAAATGCGATACGAATCATATGATTTATGAAATTTTACATTTTTTACAATTTCTCATACATTTAAAAAATGAGTATACATGCAGTGCTTTTAAAAAAGTGTATTAAGATTTTTTTATATATGAGTATTTTTGACTCAAGTTACATTATTGCTAGAAAAACTCCAATAAATTTAAAGCTGTTTGGAGTTCTAACAATTACACTTTGTAACCTTGATACATCAAAACAATTACTATATTATTCAGTTTAAACTTTCTAACAAGAATTTTTTTTTTTAATTTTTTACCATTAAGTTACATAACTTAATGGTAAAAAATACTTTTTCAAAGCTCTAGTTGATAAATGTATGATATTTCAAAAAATCTTAGAATTTGATTCGTGTTCACTTCCTACTTCTCTTAAAGCTAATGCAGATCTTTCAATCAATTTTGTCTACTATGTATATTTTATTTGCAGCAGGATTTGATGCAAAGAACAATTAATTAAAAACACTGCTTTTAAGCTAGCTTTTAAATTTAAAGTTTAACTTTTGAACAGCACCCATTTAATAAGTTAATTTGTCAATAAAAAGTCCATATTTTATGAAAAACATTCTTGACATGACAGCAAAAACATACAAATATTTTTAACAGTTTTATGTTTATAATAAAATTAAAATCATTTGGATCCTCTGCAACTTGTTTACGTTCTTTGCACAAGTGTTGATTGCCTCTAAAATGACACGTTCTTCTAAGTTTGTGGTTTTGCTTGTTGTGAGTTATCATTGTTATTAATTATTATTAAATACTTTAAATATACTAAACAATTTAATAAGTAATTCAACATATTATTAATATGCATAGCATTTTAAAATATTAATACAATTTAATAACTTATTTAACATGCAAACAACCAAAATGTGTTTGCTTTGTCTGAGTAATGTAAGTTTGGAAATTAAAAAAAAATATTTAAAAGAAAAGAATCTTATGTGTTGTAATACTTAACAGAAGATCTTAAAAATGTAACACACAAATAATTAAATTTTTGAATGCTTTCGAATGCTTTATATACAGTTTATATATTCGCACATTACTTATAATACACTTTTGAAAATGAGTTATTTTAAGCAAATATAAATTAATTATATTGGGAGATATAGAATTAAATTCTACATAAATTTACTCAAAAATAACCTTTTAAATTTATCTACTACATCTAACTTCTTTCATTTTTTTGTTTTTATTATGAAAACCCAACCCTACCACGTATTTATCTTTTTTATTTGAGGGTATTGTTTTCGAATTTGAATAAGAATCATATCGTTATAATGAAAAAAAGACTCATTGACTGTATTAGTCTTCTTTAATAAAAGGGAATAAATGAAAAAAACTATTGCAATTGTTACACAGTTTTAATTTCAAAAAAAATAATTTTTAAAAAAACTTTTCATGACTCATTGATCCAGAAACAAATTTGAAATTCAAAACACGATTTTATATATCACAAGGAATGATAAATCGGTTATTTGATAAATATGATATATAAAGTGCTTAGGTAGGTGAGAGGATCATGTATTAAAATCATTGGTGTACAATGAAATTTTCAGTGATTTTTAATCAATCTTTACTTTTGAATACATTTATCAAATATTCTTTTCACTTTTTCCACAGAAAATACAGTTAGGTTTAAATCGTTTGTTACCTATAAATTTACCTAATGTTCATTTTGCTGTTATGTGGATTTTTTTTGACATTTTGGTGTATATGGTTAATATGCTAGTAAAGGGTGAGCATTTGGAATCAATCAGGTCAGTCTTTACTTTTTGTAAATTATGAAAAAGGATTGTGTAAACATTAAATATAGATGCATAAATTTCCATTCCAGTGAGTCAAAAAAAAAATGAAATTTAAAAATAATGATTTTTTTTTCAATTTGGAAGATGGAATTCAAAAGAAGATACATGATATTTTGATTATCCAAACGAAAGTTGGAGACTTACTTCATTTTTTTATTGGAGACTTACTTCATTTTTTTATTGGAGACTTACTTCATTTTTTTATTGGAGACTTACTTCATTTTTTTATTGGAGACTTACTTCATTTTTTTATTGGAGACTTACTTCATTTTTTTATTGGAGACTTACTTCATTTTTTTATTGGAGACTTACTTCATTTTTTTATTGGAGACTTACTTCATTTTTTTATTGGAGACTTACTTCATTTTTTTATTGGAGACTTACTTCATTTTTTTATTGGAGACTTCCCTACCGGCACATCTAGTTTCTTTTTCGGAAATAAAACCTATATAGGCACGTGTTTTTCACGATACAGGCGTAAACCAAAAGCACGTGTATATTACGGGCAGTTTAACTAGAGTTTAACACGTGTTTTTTGAGGTTTTAAAGTCAAATTTAAATGTCGCATGTTTTTATCAGTGGTTTCACATTCCTTACGGAAAGTTATTACAATATAATACTACGTTTTCATAACAGTGAAACCATTAATACTTTAACTGGTATTTATGGTAAATAGTAATAGTTAATTTCATGGAATAAAAACCATTTTTTATACGTGTTATTCTTTTTGTTTAGGTTTTAAAATCGCAACAGAAACCAAGCGTAACTATTTTCTGAGTTGTTCCGGCTGGGTTACTTCATTTTTTTATTGGAGACTTACTTCATTTTTTTATTGGAGACTTACTTCATTTTTTTATTGGAGACTTACTTCATTTTTTTATTGGAGGCTTTCTTTATTTAATTATTAAAGATTATTGAAGACTTTCTTCATTTAGTTATTCAAACTTTTTCTTCATTTTTTAATTCTTCAAATTTTGCAATAAATATAATTTTTTTTCAAGACAAAAAATGAAAGTTTTTATTACATGTGCTAATGATGATTAAAGTTAATTTCATTGCCCAGATTTTTTAATTATTAAAGATAATAATGTCTTTCAATATTTTATTATCATAAATTGTGAATAAGTATCTTGAATTTTATGCCAAAGTGAACAACGTTTTGAGTTTCCATGCGTGATTTAAAAGATCTAGTTGTTTGTAAAAAGGAAGCATTAAAAAGTTTCACTGAAACTGATTTTTATTACTT